CCCCAGACTGCCTAAGATCAAGAGAACAAATGATACCAAATGTTGAAGAGGATGTGGGGAAAGGGGAACACTCATCCACTGCTTGTGGGGCTGCAAACTGGTTCAGCCCCTATGGAAAGCAGTGTGGAGAACTCTTAAAAAACTACAAATGAACCTACCATTTGACCCAGTTATACTACTCCTTGGCATATACCCAGGAACTCATCCTATTGCAGAGACACTTGTACATCCATGTTTGTTGCTGCTCTTTTCACAATAGCTAAGAGATGGAAGCAACCTAAGTGTCCCTCAATTGACAGTGGATAATGAAAATGTGGTCCATTTATACTATGGAGTTTTACTCAGCAGTAAAGAAAGATGAAATCATGAAATTTGCAGCTAAATGGATGGAACTAGAAACTGTTATACTAAGTAACAGCCACAGAAAACAAATCAACGTGTGTTCTCCCTCATATGTGGTCCTAGACCCAAACCCTGATAAGTGAGTATGTATCCAGACATAACTACAGGAACCAGGATAATGGAAAGGAAACAAGGAGGTAAAGGAAAAGAAAGAACCTGAAAGAGAAGAACAGTAGGAAACAAGCCTTAATAAGGGAGGTATGGATAAAAATTGGGTTAGTTTAAGGGAGAGGCGAGGGAAGGGTATACAAGAGCCTAGGGGATAAAGGGAAAGAAGGAGCTCAAGGTAGGACCATAGGAGAACGTTATTATTAAGGGATAAAGGGGGGACATGTGGGCATCTTAAGTGGGAAAACCATGATGGAGGTGTGAGACAATGTGAGAGATAAATAATGCCTAGCTAGTTTTAAAAAACAGAGGGAACCATATTACTCCAACATCCTACTGACAAATTATACATAGCAGATCAAGAAATACATGTCTAGGCAAGGTTTATCTGAGAACAATTTGTCTTTGCCCAAGATTTATATCTATGACACACAGTAATTAAAAGTACCAAACTGGTGGAACTAACCTTCTTTGATGTTTAGCCAACATACTTTGAGGCCTGTACTAATTTGGTCAGAGGGACATAAAGGACAGTTTTTGCTCCTTGCCCTCCTAGGTCGACTAGTTCCAGGGGACTATGAGTATCTCTCAGAATGTCCTGTAATTTTGGTGGGTCACCTGTCCTCTTGATCGTGGAGGCCGAGGAGACCCCACCAGATGGACTTGAACCAGTGTCTAGTCTACAAAGAGGAAGGTCAACACAGAGGAATCATTTCCTCCAAGCTTCTAAGCAAAGCCAACCATGGTCAAGTAGGACCTTTGACTTATCTTCACATAGGTGGAACTGGTAAAAAAAGGAGCCAGGGGCTCCTCCCAAACCCATGTGACCCCTGAGGAACAGATCCTCAAATGACCTTAAGAATAAAAATAAATTGGTTTATCTGGGCCAACTTTATCGCCTTAAACACCCAAAAGGAAAGTGTAACCAACGTTTAAAGGTGCCAATATAATTTTTTATGAGTCCATATGTATAGCTAAAGCCTACATAACCAAGCAACAATGCCAGATAGGAGATACCTTCTTCTGAGTTGTTGGCCAGGGTAGCCAAAGGGATTCCCAGATAGCAACCCAGCATAAAACTGGGAAAATGAACAATAGACCCTAATCTTATCTAACGGAATATTGATTACTGATTGCTGCTAGATGAGGAACAGATGACCTTCCTAATAATCTAGGTAGGCTGACTAGATTCACCAGATGGACAAGTAGTGGGGAATGGCTGGTGGTGCCGACAACACAGCAGACAGCAGGGATATCAGAGTATAAGGGCTCTAGTTGGGGGAGGGAGGGTATGGGAAGGTGCCATCTGGGAAATGAGTGTATAGTTGAAGATGGTTTGGGATGTTCTGTGTGATACACACACACACACATACACACACATATATCAACAAATTTTTTTAATGTATTATATTTGAGGAGGAAGCATGGAAATTTACGTCATGCTGATTAGTAGAGGTGATAAACATTACCATTGAAATCTACCCAATGACTTTACAGACATACACAGGTGCCAAGGATCCAAGTGCAACCGATTATGACTAGTAATAATCAGATACATACAGATTAGAGATGCATGCGCCAACATCTCAGTGTTCATAGCAAAAACAATGAGTCTTTCTGCAAGGAACAATATATTCTAAAATGAAATGGAGATCTTTTTTAAAGGTTAAAAGCTCATTCAATTTTCTGTCTTACAGGGCTTATACTGAGTTCAGTATTGTATAGCTGTATTAATTTAACTGAACCTTGAAACTTACAGCCACTTGTGAAAGAAATGTAGTCTTGCCCTGGAGTGTGTTACTGAATATGTTAAAGCTGTAATGAAATGCTTCTAATCATGTATTCAAAATTTAAAAAAAATAATGATTAAAAAAATTTCCTAAGAATATTTGCATTTTCCATATGGAGATGATATGCCACATAGTCTTTTAAAAAGAGTCTCAGGACTGACAAGAGGGCTTCACTGTCAAGTCTAACATTAACGTGAGTTTAATCCCTGGACCCACATAGTAGAAGACAGGAAATTTGGAATCATGCATGCCCGCGCATGTATTTATGGGCTAGTGAGATGGTTCAGCAGGTAAAAGTACTTTCCACACAAGCCTGACAACCTGAATTCAACCCCCATAACCCATGTAAGGTGGAAGAGAAATGACTACACAGTGTTCTCCTTGGACTTTCACATACACCCTGTGGCATGCCCGCCCATACATACACATCATGTCACATGCACAGGCAAAGGAGGACACATGCATCTACACACAATAATAATGAATAATAATTTTTAACTTTAAGAAAATGCCTTTTCATGGCCTACCACATCCTTTTTAATGTGCTCATGCTCATTAGTCTACTTGATTTACTTTCTCTTTTGTTGTTTGTGATTCTGATATGAAACTTAGGCCTTTTTAAGTTTGCTTCTATTTATATTATTGGTGTTTGCCTTGGTTGTTTTCTTAATGGGTGTCTAAAACTTGTTGGTCTAGGTTTCATGTTCTCTCAGATTTTATTTTGGAGGGAATTGATGGCTTCAGATCAGCTACTCAGGAGCTCCCACAGAGGCCCAAGCCAGGCTCCAGTCAGGTGCACTCAGACTTCCTTCTAACATTTGGATCCCTACTAGCGGGTGCTCACAGCACAATTTGGGAAGTTCACTAAAGGGGGGCCTGATTTTAGCACTCCCAGGTGGTCTATTAAGGCCTCAGCCCTTACCTTACTGTAGAGAGGTCTACCCCTGGGGAAGTGGGAGGGGCCTCACGGAATTCCTATTAGGGTGTTGGTACAGTGTGATTTGGGGAAGCTCACCACCACACAGAGGCCAGATCAGGCACTCTAAGGCTGTCTGATTTACGTTCTCAGCTACAGGCTTCTGTTGACAGTGGTTTAAACAATTTTGGATCATGAACTTTGTTAATTAATGCTTTGGTATCTTAAATATTATTGCCATAAATTTTTAGTTTAAAATTAGTTATTTCTTTTATTTATTTTACCAAGAATCATAGAGTTGGACCTAGAAAAATGGTTCAAAGTTTAAGAGCACTGACTGCTCTTCCAAAGACCTGAGTTTGGTTCCCAGCACCCATGTTGTGGCTAACAAGTGTCTGTAACTCTAGTTCCAGAGGATCTGATGCCCTCTTCTCACCTCCATGGGCACTGCACACATGGTGCACATATATACATGCAGGAAAACCATTCATATTTATAAAAAATAAATCCCCCCAATTTTTCTAAAATCATGGACTTTTTCAGAAAATACTAGCATCACATATATGTTACTGTGGTGAGTGTCAGCAGTTGATGAGATCAAACTACTTTAAAAGTCAATTTAGCTATTAAAATAATATAGCATGTGTGTTGTATAGACAGTGTCCACAGAATCCTGAGAAATAATAGAAGATGTACAATCTGGAGAGTTGTATCATGGAAGAGAAAAGTAAGCTTAGTAAAAATGGTGACTCCTCTGTTGTTGGGGATCCAGTTGTCAGTGATAAGGGTGTGGATGGCAGGGATGAAGACAGCCCTGATGGCTGTGTGGGATGGAGAGTGTGAAACCGGAAGGGGTCCAAGAGGCTGTGACTCTCTTGTTTGAAAGATGGGGGATATAGAGCATGTGTGAATGTTGATGCTTATTGGAACATTACAGGAAAGAGAGATGGGCAGGCAGGTGGATTGAGCTTCATGAGGGCAAATGTATCAGATGGAGCAAGGAGATTTGGCCTTTAAAGAAAGAAGAACTAAAGGTTGTAGTTTTTCTGTGAAGCGTGCGGCTGTGGGAAATGAGGGAAATGATGGGAAGTAAGCATGTTAAAAGTTTAAGAATGGATAAGTCTTAGAAATACGCATTTTTTAAAGGAAAGAACCCTTTGACTAGCAAAGCAGTGACAGTGGCGGTGCTGGGCTTAGCTTCACAGTGGTAGGTTTTGCCTAGTTCTGTGCTGTGCCTGTCCCTCAGCAGCTTCAGATCATCTGCTCAAGTCTGGAAAAGGCAAGAGACTGAGCTCTGAGTTTTGATCCTGGGGTTTTTGAGGCATTAATGTTTCCCCTAGTCCTGTTCCAATGAGAGTAAATACAGCCTCCACCTAGCAAGGTTGCAGCCAAAGTTGTTTGCTGTGGGTCCACCCATTTCCGTGAATGCAGGGGAGTATTGGGAGAGGCACTTTGGAAAGTTGAATTGGCTTATTCTCTGAGGTCCAATTTCCTATTTCCTACTGAGTATTATTTTGGTGCGTTTTAAAAAAATTAATCTGGGAGACTTAAACATTTACCTTTCAGTTCTTTGTGGAAAACTAAAACTTTTTTCTTAGAATGGAACAAAATGTTAAATTTTAAAGTTCATTACTAGCAAAATAAGAAGATGCAAACTTTAGGTACACCAAAAGTAGGAATTAATACTGTATTTTCAAGTTTATATTCAAAATCCATATTTGAAAGCACAGTATAATCATGTTACCTTGTACTTCTTACTAATATAGTGTCTCCTTTCTTTTTAGGAAATAGTCTAGTAAACTTAACCTTTCATTTATTTAGTCTTCATGGGTTAATTGAGTACTTCCATTTAGATATGATGAAACTTCGTCGATTTTTAGGTAAGTGATTCTGACCCATTTAACAGTAACAAGATTTACACAAAAACTTGTTTAATTTTTTGTTAGACTACCAGTCAGTTATTACAAACTTCAAAATCAGTAGCTTAAAACACATATTTATACATCACATAGCAACATTTTTGTTAGTGGCACACTACATACATGCATGATGGTGGTCCCATCGTATATGATTATATCCCCTGTGACATTGTAACTATCTTGGTTTGTACAAGCTCTGTGATATTTGTATAGTGATGGTAAAATACCTGGTGACTGAATTGCAACGTGAATCTCCTGAATCTAAACAGTTGGGGCTGATAGCTACACGGAAAATATAACTGAATTACTCGGAATTACCACATTTTAGTATGTGTGTGTGTCACTTATGCATAGTAAAATTGGGTCTTCTTTTCTTTAATGCAGTTATGATTCAAGAAGATTACCACAGTCAGAATCCTTACCACAATGCAGTTCATGCTGCAGATGTTACTCAGGCCATGCACTGTTACTTAAAGGAACCTAAGGTAAGCAGTTGACATTGACTTTAGGTGAAAAGCAAAAGAAATTTTCTTTGGATGTGTTTTCTTAAGTTAGTGGCTTGACTCAAAATCGGAAGCTTCTTTCATAAGGTAAAATCAAGCTTGGCTGTAAATGCGGCAGCCAAAGAGAATGGAGTGGTTGCTATTGAAGCCTGAGCAAGGCCCAGGTTTCTCAAAACTTGGAGCTCTGTGTGAGGACTTGGGCATTTGCATCGAGTTCCTTGTGGGAGCTCTATTCAGTCGAGGTGCGGTTTTGTTTTCAGTATTTAAGACATGAGACTGTTGGATATATAGATGCAGAACCTGGGCCTATATGGCACTTTACAGAATTAATATCTATACCTAAGTAGACCTGATATTACACATGTTCTGGAGATATGCAAAACCACTAGAACACAGAGCCTTTAAACAGTGTTCTTGTCCTGAGCAGATCATATAAGAGCCTGACTTCATGTCAGGCTTGGTAGCTCACACCTGTAAGTCCCAGCACTTAAGAAGCTGAGGCATGAGGATTTCTAGGAGTTTGAGGCGAGACTGAGGCGCTTGCCTCCTTGCTTTTCTCACAGGTGTGCATTTATTGGTGTGTTGAGTATATGCCAGGTAACATTTTGGTTGCTAATGGCACAAGTGTCTGTGAGATAGAAATTTTGAGTTGTGGTTCATTATGCAGCCTAGGGTAGAAAACACAAGAATATTAACCTACCAGGACAGGAAATTGGCAGTCTTTAATAAAAGGACAAAGGCCTTTGTAATAACCATTGCAATGGGAAATCAGCATGCTGCCAACAAACAGCAAGATTTCATTGAACAAAGGAAACTTGCCCCTCAATACTTTTCTTTTTATTGAGAAAGATCCTGAAGGTAGCTTTTCAGATAGATACAAGTGAAACTTGACCTTCATATACATTAAAAGATTTGCAGTTTCTTATTCACAGGACTCTCATTGTCAGATATTACCAGGTGTAATAGAACCAGTTAGAAATAACATTTGCCTTTGTAAAAGTGTGATGTGGTGCTTCATGCCTGTAAGTACTTCGGAGGCTGAGGCAAGGGAATAGAAAGTTCTAAAGCTGCATGCATACATAAGTGCACACGTACACTCTAAAAAGTTGTGGTAAGGGCTGAGGAGAAAACTCAGTGGATAAAAGTGCTTGTCAGGCAAGCATGAGGACCTGAGTTTGAATCCCCAGAAGCCATGTAAAAGCTGGGCACAAAAACCAGTTTCTGTAATCCCAGTGCTCCTGCAGGATGGTGGGAGGCAAACACAGGACAATACCTAGGGGCTCTTGGAGCAGCCATCCTGGCATATATCGGGGTGAAGAAAACAACAGAGACCCTGTCTTAAATAAGGTGGAGGGGTGAGGACCAGCACCTCAGACCTCCACAGCATGCTCTGGGACACCCACATTCACACATATGAATGAGCATACACATACATACACACATTGTACACACACTAAAATAAATAAATTAATATCATTGAATTGCTTGTGTTTGTTATAATACAGAGTTCTTTCTGTAAACAGAAATGTTACATTTTTAATCACTTTTTTCTACTTTGAGTATGTGATTTGTTTCTATACATTTTATTATTACTATTTTTGGGGGGGTGTACACGTCACTGTATACAGGTAGAGGTCAGAGGATAGCTTTCAGGAGTTGGTTCTTTCCATGGGGGGTTTGGGGATTGAATTCAGGTCATCAGGCTTGTGCAACACGTGCTCTTACCCAGTGAGCCATTTCACCAACCCTCCCACAGAACTGTTAAAAATTTAGTTGCTTCTTTGTATGTTTCATTTTTTACCTGAGATTATGTAGTCATGTGTAGCTGTATTAGTAAATTTGCAATAAATGTAATTCTAGGTTACTGTTTATTCCAGGAAGGTACTTGTCTATTCCTCTACCACCTCCACTCTTCTAGTTACCATAAGAATGTAATCCTTTGTCATGTTGCCTAGTAAATGACATGGCCATCAGATTTATGCTCCCATGCCCATTCATGAGTTACATTTCCATTATGTTTAGACTCCCATGCTCATTCATTTGTGTGTCACAGAAGAGGTTCCTTTGTATCAATCTACATCTGATTATCTTGACTAGTAAATAGTGCTTAAACACTAGAAATACAGAGTAACCTTGTGTTTTAGAGTAAGTTATTGAGATCCAGTAGCCAGTTTACTAATAATCAACTTCAAAATTCCAGGTCTTCTCTTGAGTAATGGCTAGAGTAACAAAGGTAAATGAGTCTATATTTGTCCGTTTGGAGGCATTGCTTTTTTTAAAATAAATGATTTATGCTTTCACTGTCATTTTAGTTTCGTATGATAAAAATAAAGCAGTATCAGGATGACCTCTGTAAACCCCATCAACAGGGATAGTGTCATAGCATGTCCACCCCACTGTCCCCATGAGCCAGGACCTGGCCGGCTCTTAATGGCATTAATGAGCAGTCCATCTAAACAACTGACAGGAAGGGGAGGAGACAACACTCCCATTGGCTCCTGGTTGAAAACTATGCTGGTGGTTGTAGACTATCAGATATGTTTGTGATCAATTATTCTTTTGTCACACTTCAGCTTGCCAACTCTGTAACTCCTTGGGATATATTATTGAGCTTAATTGCAGCTGCCACTCATGATCTGGATCACCCAGGTGTTAATCAACCTTTCCTTATTAAAACCAACCATTACTTGGCAACTTTATACAAGGTTAGTATAATTTCATCATCGGAATTTAATATTTCTCAGTGTGGGCTTACAATCCCAGCAGTGAGGAGAGAGAGGGACAAAGAGAATCCCCCTGACTCACTGATGAGCCAGCCTACCCTAATCAGCGAGGCCCAGGCCAGTGAGAGACCCTGTCTCAAAAAACAAGGTTCTTGACTCCTGAGGAACAACCCCCAAGGTGGACCTCTGGCCACCCCGTGCATGCACATACACATGCACATGCACACCTCCACACACTATTGGACTCAGTCACTCACAAGGTAATTGTACACACATGCACACAAATAAATTAAAACTTAATAATTCAATAGTTTTCTATTCTAGACAGTTTGTTTTAAGGCACTGAAAGTAGTGGAAATAAATTCTCAATGAAAGTTAAAACTTTAACCAAGTTTTGGGCTGGAGAAATGGCTTAGTGGTTAAGAGTACTTTCTGTTCTAAGAGTACCCAGGTTGAGTTCCCAGCACCCTTTGGAGGCTGACTACCATCTGTAACTCCAGTTCCAGGGGATCTGATACTCTCTTCTGGCCTCCTCGGCTACTGCACGTACATGGTGTGCTTAACATAAATCCAAACAGAACAGTCATAAACATAAAAATATAAATAAATCTTTTAAAAATTTTTAACCAAGTTAGTATTGCTGATAAATGAATGATTTTTATGTTTAGAAAGTGGCATCCTACTAAATAACCAGTAAACATCCTTCTTGTAGAATACCTCAGTACTGGAAAATCACCACTGGAGATCAGCAGTGGGCTTGTTGAGAGAATCTGGTTTATTCTCACATTTGCCATTGGAAAGCAGGTAGGCTGGATTAAGACAAATGTATCATCTATGGAAATTAAGTTGGTATTTAAGGTAATTTATAAAGGTTCAAAAGTTATGTTATTGCATCCAAGTGTTACAGTTTTCAGTTTGTGTTAAATTGAATGTATGGTTATCTTTTTAAATTTTATATCAAAATTTTAAACCAATTGTGTAGTTGAGTCAATTGTATTTTTTGAATATTCATTTTATGAGACATTCCATGAATTTGAGTATATAAAATTCACTCCACATCCACATGTTCAGTCATTGTGTTACCACTTACTTATATAAACAGGTATTGCACATTTCCACTTCATACTTAGCAGATAGATGCTTCATATCTGTACCTGAAAGATAAATGGCATAGAAAGTAAACACTACATGAAATAATGAATAAAAAGAACAATAGAAATACCTTTAAAAATAATTTAATGTTGAGCATACCATTTTGGTGGCCTAATAAAAAACATTATTGTAAATAAGCCCAGTATGATGGTGAAGGAACATGTCTGACCCCTGCCACAGTGTGGTCCAGGACAAGCACCTGGCTGATGCTACACCAAGAAAAGATGCACTCTGAAAACCACATAAATGGATGTGGATGGTGGGTGCAGAAAAACGGCGGTGCGTGAAATGTGCACCAGTATTAAAAGTGTACACTCGTTCTTCTTTCTTTTTCCTTTTCACAACTTTTTCTTTATTAGAAACAGTGTTTTGAGTGACTGTAAGAAAAGAGCAGCGGTTTATTATTACTATTTTTAATCTTTATTCATGATTACCTTTGGGTTACAACAATGCTTTTGGTAAGTAAAATCACTCCTTACTGTAGTAGTACAAATATAAAAATTATACATCATATTAAGACATTTACATGTTTGCTTCATTCCCTTGTTTTGTATGTGATTAATTGTTGCATTCTTAGATTTAATGAAAATAAAATCTGAAACTACATATTAGCATTATTTTATGCTTTTCTTTACTTAGAAATTGTTTCAAATATTTCAGCACTATGTTTTAATCTAGTTTTAAATTTTGTTTATTATTTTGTGTGTGTTTGTGTGTGTGTGAGTGCAGGTGCACACATGCTACAGCACATGTATGGAGGTCAGAGGACTCTTGCAGGAGGCAGCTCTCCTTCCATTGTGGCTCCTGGGGATGACTCAGGTGGTCAGGCTTGCGAGGCAAGCACTTTCACCCACTCAGCCACCTCACTGATCCTATTTGAAGCTCCTTACTGATAATATATAAAGATAAATCTTTATATATTGATATATAATGATATATAAAGAAAATATAAAGATAAGCTTGCTATGGCCTATTAAAATACAGGGATTTTTTTTAAAGTGTATTTCTCTTATCTGATGTAAGACACTTTTTAAAAGGGTGTCCTGTATTTGCTAGTTATATATAGCATGTTACATTTTCCCCTCCAGAAAATTTGGATATTCTTATACAGATGATTGACTCTTGAGTTTAACCCTAAAAATGTAGTGGCATCTCAACTGTTTACTGGAATTCTGACAGGATTTCATCAGCTGTTTTTCTCAAAATGTCTCAGTGACATTGACTGGGCTACTATTTTCTAATCTGCATTCAGATCTCAGGCACCAAGAAAGAATCCAAAGTTGTTTACCGTCCACACAGGAATTTTCTAGCAATTAAGAACATTTCAAAGAATTTTCTCAACATACTAATGTTGCACTGATTTTTTTTTCCCCCACTCTAAGGAAATAATTCCACTTTGACTGATAAAAGCACTCCTTTGGAATCTTTGCACATTGGTATTTTCTACAAACTCTTCATTTTACTTTCTATTATTTTAATAATTTTAAGTGCATTCCTTAAAATACTTCTTTCAAAAATAAATTTTAAGATGATTGGCAGTTAGAATATCTTAGGATAGCTTAGAATAGCTTTCTGATATTAAGCTTAAGGAATATAAATCGGAAGTCTTACATTCTTCTTTATATTTCTCTAATTCCAGGCAACAAATGGAGACGCAGATAGGTGCTTTGATACTAGCCACAGACATCAGTCGCCAGAATGAGTACCTGTCATTGTTTAGGTCCCATTTGGATAGAGGTGACCTACGCCTAGAGGATGGCAGACATAGGCATTTGGTTCTACAGGTAAAATCAAGCTTGGAAAGATCCTGTTTCCAGGGTAGATCCTGTTACTGGTAGAGTAAAAATGAACTACCAAACTACAGTAGCATATTTCTTCAGGGTGAGTAAATCAGAGGGATTTAGCACACTCACTTCCAGAAGGGGCGCTGGCGCGTCTGCTGCTCTGGGAGGTGCCCTGCCTTCAGTACTTAAGATTTCTGATGAAAAGATGCCAACAAGTGACATTTTATTCTGATGAATCTCACATCTGAAAAATGGGCCAGAAGTGGATTGTTTCCTTTTGTTATGACAGTCTGTTCAAGGTGATTCCTTGGGATTGTCAGTGTAATTACAGTTTAGACCATTGTATCAGCAATTCTGCACAAATAACTGGTAAATCCAGTAGCAGCATAAAATTAATATAATAGTGGGTTTCCTTTCACAGTATTTCTTCTCTGTTGTTTTTTATTTTCATCTGAACCCCCTGCATTTCCTTCAGTGTTCTTTTCCTTGTTATTGGAGGAGATTTAAATTTGGTACAATTGAGGTCTTTTCTTTCTTAATGCACCTTTAATGTTTTGTTTGCTAGATGGCTTTGAAATGTGCTGATATTTGTAACCCATGTCGGACCTGGGAATTAAGTAAGCAGTGGAGTGAAAAAGTAACAGAGGAATTCTTCCACCAAGGCAAGTCACAATACCATGTGAATAAAGTCAGAATCCAGCCATGTCTGAGAGCCTCATGCTAGATGCGTTATGTTTTTAGAAACTGTTTATACTCCATGTATGTATAACCAGTAACACTGAGCATCTGTTAAAGATGTGTAATCCTATTTGTATGTATTCATGGATCTACAGAGAGTAGACTAGAAATTATATTGTAGAGAAAGAGTTCTCTAAACTGATTCCATCCCTTGGCCTGTGTGGAGAAAAAAAAAAACCACACAGCACATGAGATGTTTAAAAATACTGACAGAATTAATCTTTGGAGTAACACCTAGTAAAAATTTTTACATGGTTCATTTAAAGAAGGATATCAATTTGGCAAGTCTTATTGTATGTGACTAACTTAAAATTTAATCCTATCATGAGGATTATGTGTTCTTCCAAGGAATTTACAGATACAATGAAGGTGTTAATTATAGATTTAGCCAGAAAATGTGTTCCATCTTAACAGTTCTCTTTTTTAATTTATAGGAGATATTGAAAAAAAGTACCATTTGGGTGTGAGTCCACTTTGTGATCGTCAAACTGAGTCTATTGCCAACATCCAGATTGGTAACTATATATATATATACATACATATACACATATATATATTTAGATATAGCTGGTTAAAAAAAAATTCCACTCATGGGGTTAAAGAGATGGCTCAGCAGTTAAGAGCACTTGCTGTTCTTCCAGAGGACCCAGGTTCAGTTCCCAACTAACTATTCATAACTCCAGTTCCAGAGGCTCTGATGCCCTCTCTGGCCTCTGCAAACACTGCACACACATGGTGTACTTAGATACATGCAGGCAAAATGCTTACACACAGAAACAACAAATATTTTTTTTAATTCCACTCATTTTAGTTTTGTTAAGGAGGAACATATTTACAATATAAAGTATTAAAAGATAATACTAGTTTATATGGTTTATTTAATTGTTTATAAAGTAATTTAAGAAATTTTACCTATTTCCCCTTGTTAGGACTCTTTCATTCTCTACCCTGCCAGCCCCTTCTGTTTGCCTCATGGACTCTTTCCCTGAAGACCCTGCTCAGAAGCCACCTTCCATTCTTTCCACACAGAGTTGGTCCCCCTCTACTGGGCTTCCAAAGTGCCCACATGTATCACTCATGCATAGCCTTTGGCTGTGCTTTGCCACAGCCTAGCACAGTACTAGAAGGAGGAAGTACCTGAGAACAGCCAAGGGGCCTGACCATGTTAGATTGGTACTGCCTCTTCTGGAAGAGCAAGCGTAGGAAGGATTGCCTAGGATTAAATGTAATGGGGTTTGAAAGAAAAGATGGTGTGACTCGCGTTGAGGGGGGAATGTATTTTTGGTAGCTGGGGTTGAGAAAGGCCTTTGAGTTCTAGGTTGAATAGTGAAATTTGTTCATAAACTTCAGAAAGGTAAAGTTTCTAGAAATTTGGGGCTAGGACAATCCTGTGGCATAATGCAATGAAAGTACCCCACAGCGGCATCTGACATATGATTCTTACATTGTGATTGCAAAGCACCCTCATCTGGAGACAAGCAGGAACTGATCTGACTACAGAGAGATGGGTAGAGATGTAGAACCAGTGGCACAGCTCTGCAGGAGGGTATGAGGACACTGAGCCTGTGGGAGCCTGTCTTGGCTCTGCAGCTAAGGCTAATTGATGTTTTTCTCTTGGGGGAGCTAATGAGACTGTTAAGAATAGACCTGCTTTGTCATGATTCTCAAGTAGAATAATACTCAACTTGGAAAGAACAGGTGAAATATAGGCAAAAGAGAAATGGAGGTGGGTGAATGGGTAATAGACTGTAGCTCCTTTAAATGTCTGTTTGCCTGAGGTAATTACTCTCTAAAGAGAACTTTCAAATGAAGTCTTTAAAGTGGCAGTTTGGGCTGCAAGTGACCCGTGGTTAAGAGCACTTGCTGCTCTTCGAGTGTTTCCCAGAACCCACATCTTCATAACTGCCCTTAACTCTAGCTCCAGGCAGACATTCACATGGACACACACCTACACGTTCACATAAGTAAAAATAAATCATTTTTTAAGTTGTGATTTTTCCTGGAGATGGTGGTACATGTTTGTAATTTCAGCATTTGGGATGTGGAGGCAGGAGTGGTAAGAAGTTCAAGGTTGTCCTTAGCCACATAGCTAATTTGAGGCCAGTCTGGGGTACATGAGACCCTGTCTCAAAAAGATTAAACAAGGGCTAGCAATCTGGCTCAGTGGGTAAAGGCACTTAACACCAAGCCTGAAGACCTGAGTTTGATCCCTGGGACCCACATGGCAGGAGAGAATCATCTCTAAGTTGTCCTGACTTACACACTTGTACTATGACATATGCACCTTCCCCTTGCACACACAAAATACATATTTAAAAAGTTTTTTAAAAGTTGCAATTTTAAAAGGGGACCAAAGCTAGATTTATTAAACTGTTGATCTCAAAGTAGATGCTTTGTTAATGTTGGACAGTTCTAGAACAGAGGAACAAGGATTCAATAAATGCTGATGGTAGTTGACATCTACTGGTGCCTCACAAGCACAGGAGATGAGTACTGCTTCCTCTACAGCTTTCCCCATACAGATTGCTTAAATGCCAGGTAAAGTGTAGCTGTTGGGCTCTTGCTGCCATCATCCCAGGCTCTTCACTGTGACAAAGCAGTGGTTTCTCAGAGGGAGCATCAGATCAGGTGTACAAGCCAGGCTTATTTAGCACCGTTTCATTCTGGGTAGGAATACTAGTTTCATGAAGCAGGTACTGGATAAGCATTAATGTCTGGCAAGGCATCCTTTAATATCTGGCAGATGTAGGTGTGGGGGGCTAGTACAGCTCAGTCTAGTTACAGATTGAGCAGCTGTGCTTACATCCTTAGTCCTAGGCTCTGCTTCAGAGACACACTATACCATACAGCTGTCTCCAGGGCCTGGCCTCTGCATTTACCTAAAAGCTAAGTGAAGCCAGGTGTGGGCTATAATTGTAGCAGTTCAAGGTAGAGGCTGGAGGAGTATCTTTAGTCAAGACAAGTCTGGGCTACAGAGTGAGACTTTGTCTCAAAAACCAAAAAATAGGGACTGGTGAGTTGGCTCAGCAGTTGACAGCACTGGCTGCTCCTGCAGAGGACCCAAGTTCTATTCCCAGCACTCACATGGTGGCTAACAACTGTCCATAAGTCCAGTTCCAGGGGAATCTGACCCCCTCTTTTGACCTCTGCGGGCATTGCATGACATGGGTGCACTTACCTACATGCAGGCAATACACGCATACACATAAAAAATAAGTAAGTAAATAAAACACACACAAAAAATCTAAATGAAATTGTGGATTAAGGAGAGTCAGAAGTGGTAGCAGCTTGTTGGCCAATAACTAATTTGTTGAATCATTAAAAGCAGGATCATTAAAAATCTCAACTAATTAGAAAAATGAGAAAAATCAAGTAAGATGACCCTTTCTCCATTTAGGCCCAATTTTTTTTAAATAATTTATTGAGAAATTCATACATGCACATAAGGTGTTTTGATCAAATCCATGCCCACTCCCTCCTATCCAACTCCTCCCATATCTCCACATCACTTTTTTCTGATAACTTCATGTACTCTTTCTTCTTTTTTTTTTTTAAATGGGGCTTTTGGATGCTCTAACATTCCCCCTTCTGAAGAGGTAACCCTAAAATCTTTTAAGGATTAGATAAACGCTCCCAAATATTTTCGACAGTTTTGGCTTTTGGAATGGAGTAGTTTGCAAAGAATCCCAAGGACATTGTGAGTTTTAGCCAAGAAACTGGCTTCTTTTCTTTGGGGTGTTTTCACCCTAACTGCCTAGCGAATTCCTACCTCCTATTCTTATCACACCATCCTCTGAAGAGGCTACCCAAATTGCCAATAGGGAATCAGGCACAGACAACCCTGGCTTCTTCCATGCTGAACAGGGACGCGGGGTGAGGCAGTTGGAGTACCCCTTCAGTGGGTCTATCTAAAAGACTCCCAAATTGCATAACTCTTGTCTCTAAGGGGAAAAGAAAGTTCTTGAATCATGAATAGGAGATTTGAAGGAGAAGTAAAGGCAAGAGTAGTTAGCATTACAAGTTTGAGACAGGGAACTAGAAAAAAATCAGAACAGGGCAGTTTTCAAATGTTCCTATGAGAGTCCATTGGAGTTTCTTGACAAGGGCTTCCAAAAGCATCCCTCTATTGGGTTCCTCCTCATTTTTCTTTTGTCTTCCAAGGCTGAACTCCAGAGTGATGGATTCAAGATTTGCTTTCAGGTATTTTGATAGCTGTTGGAGTGGGTTAGAATCAGTGTCAGTGCCCTCTCAAAGGCTTCTAGATAGGGGAGAAAACAATTTATCCATCATTTTAGAACAATAGCTGGTTGTCTCCCTTAGCGACAGGTGGGCGCTACAGTAATGGAGACAAAGATTTGAAGTCTTACATCTGAACAGCACTTTCTGATTAAGAACAAAATCATCAATGAAAAATAATTGTCTAAATAACTTTTTATATGGACTCAA